CACACGTGTATTCACACCAAAAACGAAGAGACGCGTTGTGCAGCGGCCGCTGCTGTCCCATCTAAATATAAACCGCACCTAAACAGTTAGTGGAGGTAGTGCATCGTGTTTGCAAATCTCCAATAAAGAAGAAGAAGAAGATTTGGACCCAAAACCCAGGTTGGACAGGTTCACACGCCAGTGATTATTCCAATGCTTGGAGAATTAATATTTAGAATCAATAAAAATGCATCTTTTGATGACATTCTGGATTCTTATTGGGCAACATCAAATGAGACGATGCATACATCACCAGTGGTGGGTTTGATTCAAGCCTGGCATGAACTGCTCGGACGGGCTGTAACGACAGTTTGACACCATTCTATCACCGGCCAACCAGGAGACTTCATCTAACGCCTGGGCAGGGATCGGTACCAAGACTCGGTATTAAACAACCCAAGGCAAGTTTAATCAAGACTGTAATAATAGTAAGCTCCGCCATTATTGGCATTACTTTTTAAAGTTTTGGTTTCATCAACAGCCTCTCTCCTGCTCTCTCCATGCCAGGGCTGACCTCCTTCTCACAACACGCACACACACACACACACACACACACCCCTCCCTCCCATCACCCTGTAATGTTCTGAATGTTTAGGCTTCAATATGCCACTCACTACTGAAATTAAGAGGAATTCATATGCAAGCGGCCTGTAGCTATTGTATTGTGACCAAGACTTCACTGCTGGATCTGAAGTGTACTAAATGCCTTTTTCAAACAGTATAGCATTGAAGCTGGAAAGCTTTCCACTGTCAAACAGGACTTCCTTACCAAGCTCAATTAAAATCATACTAACAGAGGACTTTAGTGAAACCAAAGCAAGGCAATATCAATACTACATGCAAGCATTTTTAAAGTTAATGGAAAATTTTAAAATTCTGTATCTCCATAACATTAACTTTTTTTTTTTTTTTAAAGATATTTTTTCTGGCATTTTTAAGCCTTTAATCGATAGGACAGATGAGCGTGAAGGGGGGAGAGAGAGAGGGAGTGCCATGCTGCAAAGGGCCACAGGCTGGAGTCGAACCCGGGCTGCTGCGGCAACAGCCTTGTACATGGGGCACCTGCTCTACCACTAAGCCACCAACGCCCAACATTAACCAACATTAACTTTTTATGAGCAAAAAAGCAGCCTAGTTTTTAGCCCTCAATGCCTTTTTCAAATAATTCAATGTTTTTTAATGGTTTATTTAGCTTAAGTAGCAGAAGCATTTTCGCAACCGTGTAAGATGGAGTAGGCAGAAATCTGGAAAAGGCAAATAAAGATAACAAAAATTAAATACATTTGCCATAATGCTGCGAGTCATGACTCTAAGCTAGTGGCAGCACATTATAAACAAACACAGTAACGAATAAGGCAATACTAACTCTGCAGTAACTTTAAAACACCTTAGACTACAGACTTCTGCTTGGATGTTAAAACTGTCTTACATGGCTCTTTCACAACACAGTCACAGTATTGCGCATTAAACATTGGAATGAAGTTTAGAAGTGGAATACTTGATCTACATACCTGTCTCCTTTAGCTTCAAATATTGAAAAGAATGTCCACACAGCTATCACAATGCAACAGGTGGTTCACCAATCAAAATACCCAACATATTCAAATGAAAAAAAGAGATACAAAAAACATTACCCCTTTTGTCTGTGCAAGAACAATCCCATGGCAATGTTGAAATTATCTGAAAATTTTAAATTGAATCTAACAATCATGGAATATTAAATGAAAATATAAAAATATGTACCCCTCTCATTATTGGCAGACAAAATATCCCCTGCTGAGACAATACCAATTTACCCATAGTTCAGGGGGTTAAAGTTAGCTGGAATACCAAAACACAGCATTGCTTCTTTTTATTGCATTTCCAAGAGCTCTGTGCTTACTGGACATTCTTTGCTTAAGGTACTTACAATCACATTTACACATTCATAGGACAAAACACATCAGCTCCTGGATACCAGAAAGGCTGAGCCACTGTCAGTTGACTGTTGGATTTGATAAATCTTAAAATGTTTGTTGGTTAAAAGCCCACTGTCTTTCATCAAAAGTCGCTTCCCTCTTTAAATCTTAAGGTCAGTCAATGATCCATTGCTGCTCATATACCAGACCTGAGGGGTGTACTACGAAGCCACCATAGCCAGTCATTCTTTGCCTCAGTTGTCCCAGTAAAATCTAAAATCCCAATCAGAGACTATGGGTACCATGACAGTGGTTATTAACTTTCTTTGTCAACCAGGTTTCAGGCTTTGTACACATTCTCATTAAAGAGGGCGTTTGGCGTGTCGTTCGACTCGGCGACCACACACAATCCACTTGCATGCCACCTACTTCAGAGAAGCCCATTATTAGAATGAATAGCTATAGAGAATATTTAAAAAATATATATTACACTAAAAAGCAACAATGTAGCTGCAAATAAGGCAGTAGAGGAATGCTGGCAGAAAATTACATGATTATGACATATATTTATTTTTCCACTCAATGCACTCACAATGCCTACCATTTATTTCTAAGGTGACAGCTGCACATTCTACAGCTCTTACACTTCAAACTCCATGCAGCGGATTTAAATGTTATACTACATTTACGTGTACTGACACTGTCCCATTATGAAGTAAACATGGAAATCCCTTTACTTTTTAGCCAAATAAAATTGAAATGAATTTTACTGATGCTTTTATTTGTCAATAACAGCATTTGAGAGCTACACCAAACACACAAGTGGAAAAAAAATTTCCTACTCACATTCTTTGCCTCAACTGAGTTAACATGGCAAAAAAAATACAACTGCATACAGTTTTTGCTACAGTAATTGCATGGCCTCGTTCAGTGGCATTATTCATGTAACTTGTCTAATGTTATGTCTCAACAAGTTTGCACATACAGCTGAAAATCTATATCACCCACAGAGAATATAGTCAGGAAAAGCCAACAGATCTATTGGGTCTCTAATCACACTCTGACAGAACCTCTTTAAGTTCTGTCTCCAAGGTCCCCAAGATTTTGAATGGTGACCCAATTTCCAAAGGAGCTGTCTTGTGAAAGGTGCTTTTTTACAGCCACATTTCTTCTAAAACTGAGAACATAATCTCCTCCAGAGCAGGTTAAGTATGCAGCGCAAGTTACCATTGAGATCTAACCAGGTTAAAGGAGATCCACCTTTGTGACATTTAACACTTCAACATCAGACTCACTGCACCAACCCATTAATCTCCTTTCGCAGTACACTCACCTGATACTGTTCGCCCATTCAGCATTGGTGTGTGAGTGTTGGTATGTTGAGTTACTTGTACCAGAATTTAGGGTCCAAAGTCACAGACACTGACTGGTATTTGCACCCTACCACCATGGATGGATTACTAAACTGGGCCAAGGGGCCCAAAGTGTCAGGGCCCCCCCGGCCTTCATCTACAAGAAGTCACTCAAAGAGAAACACCTACAAAAATTACCACAAAGAAACACAAAATGACCACAGAGACTAAAATGTCCACGGAGAGACACAACATTACGACAAAGAGATGCAAAGTAACTAAAGAGAGACACAAAACCACAAAGAGATGTCTAACAATTACAAAGAAATGCAAAACAACAACTATAAAGTCTGTGTGTCTTGCTCCCATGTTGGAGAGGTGAGGCCTCCTGCATGTCTGAGCCCAAAGGCCCATTGGCTCATAAGTTAGTGTGTAATGAGAACAGAAACAATTAGTTCATTAATCAATCAGCTGATCAACAATAATCTGCAACTACTGTATTTTAACCAGAAAGCCATTCCCTTGACCCAGCTTCTAAACTGTAGGATTTGCTGCTCTTTTCTTATGTGTTATGCTATTGTAAATAAAAGCTTATTATTATTATTATGGAAATCTTTCAAATTTTCTAACAGTGAATAATTAATTAATGGAAAAGAAGTTCCCATCACCATTTTGAAATAGTTTTTTGAGTGGTGCATGTTACAAAACCAATGTGTAATTAAACGGCATGTGTATAGCACCTTTCCAGTCTTCCAACCACTCAAAACACTTTGACACTATATGTCACAATCACACACTGGCGGCAGAGGTAACCATTCAAGGTGCCACCTGCTACTAAATTTATATGCGTCACACTCCAGTGGAACAGCCATCGGGAGCAATTTGGCTTCTGTGTCTTGCCCAAGGATGCTTCAACATAAGGACAGGAGGAGCCAGGGATCAAACCATCATCTTCTGACTGGCGGATGACCCACTTTACTTCCTGAGTTGCAGCCACCAATTTGTCAAATTAACACAAAGACATTTCCACACAGAAATCCAGGGGCCCCTGCTTGTTTTGCCTGGTTAACAATCCAACCTCACAAAAATGTTGTATCTCTGAAATGCAGTTTTCTTAACTAAATCTCTGAAACTTGATATTGCATTTAAACAAATTCAATCAATCATCATTTATTTGTTACATGTAATTATACAAGGTACAACTCCAGGTGAAATGAGATTCAATCAACCCCTTTAACTTGTGCTCTGTAATTTAGTCCTTCTCTATGTGCTTTTACATTCTTCACTCATCATTTGCTTTATAAAATGAAGTCACTAAACATGACACATTCCCAGGGCCAGAGGTTACATGTTAAAATGTCTCCTCTTGTTTGACCAAAACTCCAAAACCCAAACCCATCACTCCCAGAAGAACCAGATTATGGTCTTTGTAGCAGGCTGTATAAGGATAGGTCAACAGCACTACTAATTAGTGATAAGGCAGGCCAAGTCCCCCTCTGTCTGACTGGCACAGCCTACACTCAATAATTAGGCCACTGTGATAATCCTGCCGCCTCCGAGCTTCTATTAGGAAGCAGAGAGGGTCAGATGTTCAGAAAAGTGTTACACTTTCACAATCCTCCACAGCCTCCCTGCTCACCTCTGTGTGCTCTCAATACCAGCACAACAAAAACACAGCAGTTCAGGAAGAACACCACAGGCACACACCATGTAAATGTACCATTTTTTTATTGGACTTGTATAGAAATACTTAAAAAAAACATGATGTAGCACCATTACTTAAGATTTACTTTTTATCATGTATAACTTTAAATGTCAGAAAAATAAAACTCTTGAAACATTTCCAAATCTTGTCTCAGCAAATATAATATTAGTATTTGACCATGAGGTTAAAGGCCCTTTATCATAAAATAAAATATATACTTTGTTCTTAAACTTTGCTCAATAAAGTACATTTACCCTCAAGTAACTTCACCTTCATATACATAAACAAGTGGTAAACAAATGTATTAAAATAGAAATACGAAAACTATAGTGGTGCAACAGAAGCCTGTAATTCCCACTGGAATCTAATTCATACAAATTTTAGAAAGCATAAACAGTTTCTTTGTGTTCAACTTACTAAGTTTTGTACATTTCAATGTTTCATATTAATATAGAATAAAATAGGCTTTATATTACTGAATAAAAAATATTCTGGGTGACGCAGATGTGAAACACATTTTTTTTGCTGAACCTATGAAAACTCCATACCAACAGAATACTGTCAAATGCAATACACATTTTGTGGATGTGGGTTTTCTCCCACAGTCATGGGATATTAAAATAATACAGTGATCAATGCCATAAGGCCATACTAAAAAATAAACAATATTTCAACCCAGCTACAAAAAGTTCACTGAACTTAAATTAAAATATCTGTAAACATCTTTGCAATAAGAAATATAATCTTTCAAGTCAAAAAACGAATAAAATACTTCAATCTGTATTAATGTCATTTAAAACTCAACTTGTGGAAATTGATTCTATTCATATATATGTAGGATATGTTGTTTCCGTCCCTTGCATGGTTTCTGACCTTAAGCTGCAGTATCTTGCTAAGTCAAAAGTCCTGTTTGGCTAGAGGCCTTCCATGTTTCCTAGCCATGGCCTCTCCTTACTACATTTGATCAGCAAAACTGGAGGGCTCAGCCAGCTAACAGTCTACAGTTTGACCCACGCATCTCCGTTTGACCCCACTGTGCCTCTTCACTTCATAAATATAGGGTACAATTTACTAGAACTATTGATTACTATGCTGTAACATTTAAAACATGCACTTAGATGCAGAAAATATTTCCCCAAGCTACAGTATCTTTAGCAAAAACTATGACGGAGCCCAAAAAGGGTGCCTGTCCCTTCTTCTGGATACTGCAGCCTCTCACATACATATATATATCTATGTACATTTCCAAACTGATGATTGGGTGATTTCATTAAAGCAGTATGAGGAGTCTGTTTGTTGCTATTGTAGACTGTCTCAATAAAGAGACAGTCACAGAGTTTCACTTTTTATGAAAATATACGTATAGCCTGAGTAACGCCAGTGTGGCAGACAGGGCATTTGGGTTCACTCCTCTCACAGATACGATTGGCACATTCCATACAGAAGAGGTTGTGTCCACAGGGGACCAGGGCCGCAATGACCTCACTCTCAAAGCACACCGAGCAGTCGCGACTGCCTTTTCGGCTAGTGCCAGAGGAAGTGGAGGAGGAGGAAGAGGATGACGAGGACGACGACGACGAGGCAGAGGAATCGCATGGAACCCCAGGGAGGTGAGGGCCCTGCAGGGAGGCAATAATGCTGGAATAGCCAGGGAAACTGAGCGGGCCTCCGCCTGGGTCGCTGCGCACCCTCCGGGCTAACGGGTGCTCACTGGATCCTCCCGTGTGGCTGTGGAGGGGAGGCGACAGTCTGGGCTGTGGGGTACAACCTTCCAACCTTTTCTGACTAACCACTATCACATTGGCATTAGTGGAGGTGTTGGTGGGGAATATGGCTGAGGTCAAGGTGGGGGAGCTGCCTCCAGTGGAGGAGGGGGTCATGCGACTATCGTACTGGGACCACAGGAGGCCTGGTGGGGTTAGCGTAGGGTCAAACCCTGACACGGAGTCAAAAGTCAGTTCAGTGCAGTCAGGTGAGATCAACTCACTTCCATAAACAAACCCGTTGCCGTTGGTGTTGACACTGATGTTGTTGTTATTGTTGTTGCTGTTATTGTTGGTTGTGGCATAACTGAGTGTGGGGCTGGGAGGGCTGTAGTCTGCCATACGTGAGCTGCTGTTACCAAAGTAGGAATCCGTGGAGCCGCTGCCCAGGGAGGAGGACGAGTTGTTGCGGTAGTTGGAGAAGGGTTTACGCACTGACGTGGGGGTCATCCCGGCGTTTGGCTTGGACCATAGGGTGGCGTGTCCATGCAGATCAAAACCCACATCAGTCCCATTGGCATGGAAGTCATTTTCATCCTGGAGCTCAATTAGGCCTCCTGTCCTCATGGCGATGTGGGCTTCGATTTCTTCACGTGCTCGGTCCACATTCTCCGGCATCCCCGTCACCTCAAACACCGGCTCCTTGTCTCGGCTGGGTGTCACAATGTAGGTGTGGGTCTGCTGCTGGATGCGCTTGATGGTGGCACCTTTTGGGCCTACAACCAGCCCCACTACACGATAAGGCACCCGCACCTGGATGGTGGTCTGTCCAGGCAGATTGGGTGGTCCAGGAACTGGGGTGCTGCTCCCATTCAGACCAGTATTTTTGTTCCTGGAGGCTCGGATCATGGAGAAGTGTTCAGCAGCAGAGATGATCTCCCTCCTGGCCATAGCCACGTCTTCCCTCCTGCCTGTTACCACAAAAACAGGCTCCTCGCCTCGAACTGGGGTCTTGATGTAGGTGTTGGTCTTTGCTCGCAGTGCTTTGATCTTGCAACCTAAGGCATGTTTAAAAACAAAAAAAAGGGGGCATAAGTGAGAGCTGGTTCCACAACAACAGCTCCAATGATGTCATGTGTTCATCCACTATTGCATTCAAAACAGCTGCTGATGTTTATTATTGTTTCTTAAAAGGCCAGTGGCTTCAGAAATCAGTGAAACCACCCTTTCGGAGAAGAACAAATTCAAACCACATGCTGCACCACCGCAAAAATACAGTGGGATAAAAATAACTCACAAAAGAAAACTCACTTCTGGATCTGTTATCAACCCTCTTCCTTTACCACAGCACAGCTAGCATCTACAAAAGCTGCTGTTAGATTCGTGATCCTTATTTTAAACTAATAGCATTATTAGAAGAGGGGAAAGCTACTTCATAGCCTGGTGCTGGTGCATTAAGTTGCATTCCAACACAAACACAAGCACATAAACACATCTCTTTATGATCAAAATGGGACTGGCTGAGGAAACCGCCTTAGAAGAATGACATAATTAGCAGAGCAAAGTCAGCTGAGTGGTACAGGGTGATGTAACCAGGGATGAAGAGGAGGGTGAACCCACCTAAACTCAGTCTACACAGTCAATTTCAATCTATGGCATGAATTCATAAAGCGTCAGTATCAACCTGATTAAATGAAGAAGGGGTCTCTTTTATGGAGGCCCCCTGCCTTTAAATAATCCCAGAGATTATGGTTAATACACTGCCTCATTTCCAATTTCTAACCTGATATAACCTGACTGAAGGGGGTATCTAAGGTAAAAGAGATGTACTTCTGAAATGTCCCACTGTGGTGGCTTTACAGTGGAAGGTGGGAGTATGTGGTTCCTTTGTTTTTCTGGGAACAGCAGCAGCAGTATTGCAGGGAGGGGAAACGATTTCGCATATGTAACCAAGCACCAGTTCCGCCCTGCAGCCCTACAGCTGGAAGACTATGTGAGCTCAGTCTGTGCAGCTATGGGCGTCTGCTGCCTGTGGCAATGGAAGATCGTGACCGTTGTCCTAATTTGATCCTGTACAACTCATTATCATAATCATAAAATAAATCCGGGAATTACTTTCCATGCCGTTTATTACGAAAGAAACAAATAATCGGCCATTGCAAACATCTCTCATGTTATTTAAAGGCAGGGAGTTCCCTTTGCCCTGGTTTTTATCTTTTGTCTTTCCTCAAAACTGAACTCCGTTCATATTTCTAATATTCTAAGTTTTTTTAAAATGCCTAAAAAGGAGTACACACAAGCAACTAAGACTTTATCTTTCAACACAGTTGTTTCGGGTCACTCAAGCAATTCGGCATGTACAGAAACATCCAAATAGGCTGCTGTTTGATTTAAATGCCAACTTCTGAATTGGTTCCTGCTGCTTACTGCCGCCTACAATAATGTATTTATAGAGGAGGGACAATGTGTGACTATGTGGCGAGCCACAGCCAAAAGTTGGCGTTTAATTTAATTGTTTACTGCTTAGTGGAGTTCATAGATGCCGAATTCAGAAGTGGTACCTACACATTTAGATATTCAATATTAAAAAGCAGTTGCTGTGCCTGTGCAGTTAAGCAAGGCTGCGTTAGTATTATACATAATTCTGGTGTGTATTGGCATTGTGGTCCTCCCACACAGGATAATGGCTCAGGACGTGCTCATACCTCAAGTGTTTAGGAGCATGGCAGCGTGCTGCTGCTCAGCTGCAAAACATGACAAATAGCCTCCGAAGCTTAACAGTGTAAAGAGAGAGAAATACACACCCTGTCTGCCAACAATCTCAGCCACGTGCTCAGAGCTAGGAACTGGGACGCATTCGGTCATGTTGACGCTCTTTTTCCGGGGCTCCTGGTTGTCGTACGGGGGATTCTCGTCGTTGTCCAAGCCGAGCAGGGAGAGCTGATCGAGGGCGATTTGCAGAGCTCTCTGGTCGTCCAGTGCATCTCCCTGAACGCTGTTGTCGGCGAAGAGCGAGCTGGGCATCTCTGCGACTCTGCAGCGTTGAGGGACCGGATAAAGGCGAGAGGAAAGAACGTAAAGGAAGACGCCGGGGGGGGGGGGGNNNGGGGGGGGGGGGCGTCGTTTTCAAAGACAACTGATCAGTGAAAATAAATCAGTCCGGCTAAGGGATGGGTGGAGGGGGCGGGGGGGCAGTGCGAGGAGCTACAAAAAAACATCCACCCCCTTTGTGTTCTGGATGGCCCGGTCCGAGCTGCTGCACGGAAAAACGGTGAAGAAGAGGCGTTGTTATTCCAGAGCCGGCTGTGGAGATAGTAAAATTATTCCTTCCTGACAAAGGGCCCCTCCCTAGCTGACTTCCCTTAGGTCCTCTGTTGCTTCTGTCTGACTCTGAGTCCTTGCGGAGCCAGACAGAGAGATGTGCTGATGACGTCACCGGCTGGGCAGGGACGATGCAGTGCTGCGAGGTCATTTGCATATCCGTGAACTGATTGGCTGGACATGCGATTAATGGGCGTGTCTCTGCCTAGGGGGCCGCCCACTTCTTTGTTCTCAGTCTCTTTGTCTCCCTTCATTGTCTGTTTCCCCGTTTGACAATTTTTTTTTTAATAAATATACAGTATCACCTACAGTTAGAGGTCACAACAATGAACATTAACATTATTTTGAATGCACCAAAACAAAAGACATTGTCAGGGTCATACAATTTGTAAATGTGTTTTTTCTTCCAGGGCGGACTGGCATCTCCTCTGTCCTTTTCAAAATCCTCACATATCATTTTGAAGAGTTTAAGCTACATTGTCTCTCTTTACAACACAGGCTGTTGATATCACCCAGGCAAACACCTTAGAAAAAACAAACCTTTCCTGATTCCTAGTTGCAGACCATAAACAACCAACAGCTGACCAGCAGCTGAATAAAAAAAGATTTCATATTTCTGTAGTTTGTGAACAATAGTTACTCTGAGTGAGATTGAGATTCTGTATACAAAAATAATAGTTCAGCATAATAAAATCTACCACAAATTGCACATTTAAACAGTTCCTAAATACAAAAAATGTACCCTGGGATCTACACACACACACACAAACACACACATATATATAGTACATATATATAAATCAACAGGTGATTTCCTTCTCTTTTAGCCAAATCCTAAATGATTGAGTGTTTTTTCTTTCCACCTGGACCTTTATGCTCTGCCATGTCTCCTCTAATCATTGAGCTGTAACCTGTGACAGGGTGTTGTTCTACCATAACTATTGCACATTCACATATATTTAGTTTTAGACGCAAGCTTCATGTAGGTTTACATTACCAAAGGTTTATGACAAAATCACTTGATGACACCGACTCCCAAGTGCGCACGGCGAGAGCGGAGAGGAAGAGACGCTGTGCTGCTGCCAGAGGAGCTGCTGAGTGAGATCCCTCTGAGCGGTAAGTCGCTATAAGAGTCTGAGAAGTCTGGGGCTGTTCATAAAACATTCAGGACAACGCAGTTTATTCCGCACTACTGAAGCTGCTACTATTTTTGGAACCACTGCAGAGTCCATGCTAATTTCGCTATTAGTAATGCTTATTGGTGCCGTGGGTAACAGTATGACATCAATATGTCAACAAGTCGAAATATTGTAAGTATCATGATATACTGATGTATCATCTCGTTTTCGAGGGGGTCCCAAACACTTAAAAGTGGGAAAATGAACAATACAATGTACAATAATGCGGAACAGGTTTCCTGTTACCTTTACAAAACAAACAACAAAGGAACAAACAGAGACCTAGATAACAACAACAACATACATACAAAAAGGGCGTAATTTACAACCTTAAACTAGACACAATCAAAAAAACGATCAATCTACAGATAAAAGGAACAACAAGGAACAGTGACATCATTACGAAAAACATTGGCAATTTGCCTTAAGATGCAAAAACAAGACATTTTTGAATAAATGATGATGATGATGATAGAGAACGAATATTTAAAGGGATAGTGCACCCCAAAATGAAAATTCAGCCATTATCTACTCACCCTCATGCTGAGGAAGGCTCTGGTGAAGTTTTAGAGTCCTCACATCCCTTGAAGAGATCGGCGGGGGGAGCGGCTAGCACACCTAATGGCTGACGGCGCCCCAGACTAACATCCAAGAACACAAAATTGAAACCACAAAATATCTCCAACATGCTCATCCGTAGTGATCCAAGTGTCCTGAAGCCTGGACATAAGAAGTTGTTTCGAAAAATGTCATTTGAACTCTGTTTTTAGCCTCACTGTAGCCTGTAGCTCTGACTGCTTCTCTGTGCTAGCCGCTCTAGCCGCTCCCCCCGCCGATCTCGGCAAGGGATGTGAGGACTCTAAAACTTCACCAGAGCCTTCCTCAGCATGAGGGTGAGTAGATAATGGCTGAATTTTCATTTTGGGGTGCACTATCCCTTTAAGGGTAACTTATTCCAATCAGAAGGAGCCCGAACCATGAACGCTTTTTTACCAACTTCCTAAGACACAAACGGGACCATAAATAGGGTTTGACCAGAGCTTCTTAGTGAGTAACTAGGTGTATAAGGAACAAAGAATTTTTTTTGAACAATAGGGAAAATGAAAGTTAATGCATTTGAAAATAAACTGATACCAATGAAATTGATGTCTTATATCTAAGGGGAGCCAGATGAGTGTGTTTAACATTGTGCAGTGGTGTGTAAAGAAAGAACAACCTAAAATAAATCTACAGTGTCTGTTATATATAACATTAAGAGGCTGAAGGGTAGTTTTAGAGGCACTCTGGTAAACAATATATGGGTTTTTCACAACATATCAAAAATTTTACCTGTGTTACCTTGAATAATATGATACGGCACACCCCTAGTTTGGGGTCTCTCCCCCCTGAACAGCTCAAAAACACACATAATATAGTTTTATCAAGTGTAGAAAGTTTCTTTTTACCAGACAATGAGTTTTTAAGGAGATGTAGTTTACCTTGAAACTTTCTACATTTAATCTATTTTGAGTTGACAAAATGAACCTAATTACACTATAGTTTTATCAGCTTGATACCTCAGGACATTTCTTCATTTTATGAGAATTGCTTCTAAACATTTGACATGATGATGTTTCAGAAGTCCACAACAGAAAAAGACACATTACTTCTGTTCTGGGCTGCAAAGAAATACAAGCTATTTGAATACAATAGATGTCAGTCTACTCTATATCAATGATTAGGGTTGAAAATACTTTTTTACACAGCACTACCAGTCCCAAATTCTATTCTAATCTATTTGGATTGGAGTATTATAGCAGTGTGTTCACAAGAGGTCTAACAGGTAGTTCAGCCGTTCTGTGGTCTTTGAAGAAGAAAATTCAGATTTTGCCATTATTAATATGACACAAATACAGTGCAAGACCCCAGACAATGAGGGCATGTCTACAAAACACAAAAATTCAAAGAGGAGAGCATCAAGATAGGATTGTGGGATACAATTCAGTTTAAAATTTGATTACATTATAATTCTTTCATTTTCTGAGAGGAACCTAGATTGATGACAAACTCCAAACTAAGAGAGGTCAGTGCATGAAGGTCTTGAGATGACAAAAGCTCCTGTTATATTTTATCATCAATTTGTCCAAAGAAAAAAAAAGGTATTCAATACGTGAATAAAAAACTCTCCAGCAGTACAGTGAAATATTATCTTATACTGCAATGCAAATATGTATGTTGACACATCACATGAAGGCTAAGAAAAAGTTTATTAGCTCATGAGAAATTTTAAACAACATGTGGACAGCATTTTGAGACTAACGGTGATAGTGGCATAAACACAAAGAATAAACAAAAAGACACAATTTAATTAATTTGCAACCATCCATTTTTTAATTCTAAAAAGTATGTTTCAATGTTACCATTAAATATTCTTTTATTTATATCAAATATTTATAAATAACATTTCTATTTATTCACATCAGGATTGCAGGTATGGTGCTAAAGTGACTCTAAAACCCTGTTTCCACCAAGCAGTCCAGTGGGGCTCAGTTCAGTTCAGTTCAGTATGCATTTTCTCTGTTTCCACTGTGAAAAGTTGTGGATGGTACCAATAGAACCGTTGCCTACTGTCCCCATTTTTGGTCACCCCTCTGTTTTCGGGTACCTAGCACACAGATCTGGTACTAAAAGGTGGAGCTAGAAACACTGCAGGGTCTAGGTACCATGTCTGAATGTTGTAGACAGTGAACAGCTAAAGCTGGAGTAGGCAGCTTTATTTTGGCTGTACTGGGCCAAACTCCCATAATAAACATTGAGCATAACTTGGCTCTGTTTTCAAGATGAAGATAATCTAGACTGTGATGAGAGAGGGGGCGGTCATATTGGCTGATCTACGAATGCAGATGTGTGTGCACATCCCTTGAGTGAAAGCCTGATTCAATGGTGGAGAATCATGCAGATAAAATTTCTATTACAGCTTTGGCAGCAACTGCCTACACTGCAAAGCAACATAAAATAACAGGAAGACTGACTTATCAAAAAGAGTCTAAAATGGAGTCTGACAATTAACCAAATAAAACACACAACAATATCTGCAACGTGTTTCAGAGATGGACAGAATATGTTGCTAATAGTTTAGCCTTCTGCTAACCAGAGCCAAAGGCTCATAGCTATAGCCTCAATTAGCTAATATTGGCTAGAGCCTCAAATCACAGCGTGTTGTCTGTCTCACTCTCTGTGGCTTCAGACCACCTTGCTAGAGGCCGTACCAACCTGAATCCAGCCAGCATGAACAACATGTTCTCACACTGACCTCGTCACATATGGACGTTTGGTCATGGATTTTCCACATCCAGATATGACGTGCAAGGGACCCTGGATGCGTTAGCTGTTGACGTTCTGGGACGCTGTGTCAACTTCAGCCTGTTACATGTATCGTCTGATCTCAAAATACTCTTCTGTTTTCACAGGAAATGTATCATTTGCAAACAGTGTCTTTCAAAATTAACACACTATGTTGGTATGACACCGCAAATTGATGGGGTTTTTTTCACCCTCAACCACTAACACGCGTGGTTATATTTTGCCAACACGCACACACACTTAAAGTTCATTTA